TAGCGTTAAACAGTTGGTTTGTACACCTTGTAATTACGGGACTAGAGTTCGTCTTTTTTTCCGGCCATGGTTTTTCACTATTGGACCCTTTTGAACTTTTGTGTATTTTATTATGACATGGACTTCATTCCAGTCACCCTGTTTTGATTAAACATAAATTGACTGCAGTCAATTGAACCATTGTAACAGCTTAATATTATTAATATCAATATTGGCTGCAGTCAATTGAACCATAGTAACAGCTTAATATGTTATTAAAATTCTGAATTTAACTACTTGTTTTCTCCAGTTTAAATCCGATTATAGAAACGCGACGGAAAGTGACGTTGATTGGAGTGTCGAGGGTGAGGAGAGTGAGAAGTCAACAGAGAATGATAGTCAAGATAGTAATAGCGAAAAGAGTGACAACGAAGAGAGTAACAGAGAAGAGGGACAAAAGGAAGATGAAAGTCGAGTGGGCCGCAGGGACATTGATAGTGACTTTTGACGAAAATGACAATACCTCCTTGATCTATGGCGTAGAAATGGCTGATCCTGTGTGCGTTAAACTGAATGACCTGATCCGCAGAGGAAAAATTGACAGAACCCGAATTCTCTACAAATTTTTGAACGATGTATGTAACTCATTACAATCCTTTGCACCAGTATGACAAAGGCGTCATCAAATTTTTTAACACGGTTACTTACCTAGGAGGAAGGAAGGTTGCATGCTTTATTAGAGGTCCCATGAACCACTTTGAGAGAAGAGGGGGTCACTTTGATCCTGCCAACGAACAGCGAATAAATCTTGGAGGCCCTTGTTATAAGACGTGCCTTAAACACCAGGCTGATTATACCAATGATCTAGGAGTGTGGAAGCCACTTTCGTTAGGACAAATCGTGCTCATGCAGACACTTCATGCTGTTTCTATCCTGGAGACAAGTTATTTGACTGTGTATCCTTGCTGCCTAGCAAACGATGGCATAGCTATTAAACCGGCCATTGAATTTGATGAGCGATGTAAAGAAAATGTCCATTTAACATTCAATATTGACATTGATTATGTAAGAAGGAAACCTAAGCCAAGTGCAGAGTTTTTTAAAGGAAAACCTGGTTACCGAAGCAATAGTCTCCTCTGTCACAAGCATTGACGATAAGTGTAGCCTACCTTGTGCTGTTGAGTACTCCACGAAGTCTGGGAAAACGGCCGAGTCATTCCACAATGTGTTGATAGGACAGGTGAAGATCCTATAAACTTGTAAATATTGCCAAAGTCGGGCTTCGTCACCAGAGAGCATACTTGGAAAATGCTTTGAACATTGCCAAAGCTTTTGTCAGACCTGCTTTGATATAAAGGACGTGTGCCGTGAATGCAAAGAGAAAGGTCAAGTAAGCCACCATTCATCTCTACGTGCCTGTACGACTTGCTTTCACCAGAAAAGAAAGTGTGTCAAGCGAGCGACTTTTGTTCCCACGGCAGACTGCGAGACAGGCAACAAGGGTGCTTTTGATATTAATTAGAAAAAGTGTATATGAAGGGAGTATGTATCCTAAAATCTCTCTTTTAACTCTACTACCTGACTGTGTGCACGTGGGAAAAAGTTTGAAAGCGTTATTCAGCAACAGGTTGCTAAAGCTGAACAATGAGCGTAGCAACATTGTTTTGCCAAGACTCAAACCAAGACTCGCGGGGGTACTAAACCTGAGGGGACCCCGGGTTTTATAAGAAGTTTTGTTGACAACTTGAGGTCTAGTACCCCCGCGAGTCTTGGTTTGCCAACATGACGAGGTTACCAAGCCGATTTCAACGGTCGTTGTGTCGTGTTTAAAAAGGACTCGTATGTCTACAAACGTTTTAACGTTTCACTGAGGACTCGAAGAGCCACCTGGCGTCGATCGCAGGGCTGAGATTGTGTGGCTAAAGAATCGAAATGAAAGGTCAACCTTTCCCTTGAATTCTGCTGTGGATTTGTGGCCGTGGGTACATTTTAGCTCGGGATTTTTACTTCGTTCGGGAGGCTGTCTAGACAGAAGTGTTTGGCCTTGTCTTTTCTTTAAGAAGAGAAAACCAGGATTAAAAAAAACCGCTTAAATCAAGTGAAATCGGTAAAATAACGACACCAGGAGCAAGCAACACACGTATGGAATAGGGTAAGCCATTTTTATTTAATATTTTCACTTTTAACTATCTCTATGGCTATCTTGTAGAAAATCCCATACAAATCCTTATAAATCGATATGCAAATTGTGTTCCTTGTGTGGTTATCAAAGAGAGCTTGGGCCACCTGTGGCTAGACAAACTAAGCGAGGTTGCAAGCAAGCAAAGATAGATAGATAAATCGTTTATTCAAAAGAAACACCTCGCAGTCCGAAGACTGAATTACGTNAAATCGGCTTGGTAACCTCGTCATGTTGGCAAACCAAGACTCGCGGGGGTACTAAACCTGAGGGGACCCCGGGTTTTACAAGAAGTTTTGTTGACAAGTTGAGGTCTAGTACCCCCGCGAGTCTTGGTTTGCCAACATGACGAGGTTACCAAGCCGATTTCAACGGTCGTTGTGTCGTGTTTAAAAAGGACTCGTATGTCTACAAACGTTTTAACGTTTCACTGAGGACTCGAAGAGCCACCTGGCGTCGATCGCAGGGCTGAGATTGTGTGGCTAAAGAATCGAAATGAAAGGTCAACCTTTCCCTTGAATTCTGCTGTGGATTTGTGGCCGTGGGTACATTTTAGCTCGGGATTTTTACTTCGTTCGGGAGGCTGTCTAGACAGAAGTGTTTGGCCTTGTCTTTTCTTTAAGAAGAGAAAACCAGGATTAAAAAAAACCGCTTAAATCAAGTGAAATCGGTAAAATAACGACACCAGGAGCAAGCAACACACGTATGGAATAGGGTAAGCCATTTTTATTTAATATTTTCACTTTTAACTATCTCTATGGCTATGTTGTAGAAAATCCCATACAAATCCTTATAAATCGATAAGCAAATTGTGTTCCTTGTGTGGTTCTCAAAGAGAGCTTGGGCCGCCTGCAGTTTACAGAACACAAAACGCACGATGCACCGTTGCGCCATTTCAGAGAGGAATCCTTTTCACAGCTCAAGAAGAAGCAAGTCTCTTCAGAATTGATGAAGAGGGAAGGGTTCAGATATTTTCTGGAACCAAAGTTGAAGGAAGACAAGATGGTCCCGTCTTGGAATGCCAGTTCAAGCAACCAGTTGGTGTTTGTGTTGAGTTTGACTCCGTCATATATATTTGCGACGCTCAATCAAATTCGTTGAAAATAATCACGCCAGTAGTATAGTATATGGGGGTGCGAGCGCAGTTTACATTTGGAAAAATTGCGATCAACAATTTAACAACAATTGGACTATTGCCTTCTCCATTTTTAGACTATTGGCGTATCAAGTACGCTATGGGCATTGGAGACGCTACGAAGCGGCGTCGTTCCTAGAGGAAGCTGTGAAGCAGCTGAACTCTAAGGCCAATGGGCATGAGCGCAGCGAGGGATGCTCGCAAAATGAGGAGCACAGCGAACGAATGCAGCGAGGCGCGAGATGAAATCGAGCGAGCGCGTACTTAAACAAATAAAATAAAATAAAATTAATAAACAATTATTTTCTTGACAAAAGAACAAATAGTTAATGTGGGTTTGAGCTCAGCCAACATTTAGCCAAAACTGCGCTCAACATTTTGCATACAATTTTTAAAACTATAATCAAAAAATTTCAAAACTATATTCAAAATAATTTCAAAACTATATTCAAAATAATTTCAAAATTGCTGACTCATCAAAAAAACACTTAAAGAAAAATATCTTAGTATATATATGAGTTGTAATAAAGAGATTCATGAGGCTTTAATAGAAGTAGAAACATATGACTGTCCTTTCTGTAATGAAGTTATCCATAGAAATCAACCGATTGAAGAAAAATGTGATAATCAAAGTATTTGTTTAGGAAATGGTTTCTTTTTTTTGTGTTAATTGTGGACAAGTAAAAGGCCAATATTTGAAACATAATGATAACTTTATTGATTTCCATGAAAATAGGCATAGAATCAGAAGAAAAACAGTCTATAACAGAAAATACTATATAGAAAATGTAATCTATGATATTTGTGATGAAACTCGAATCCAAATAAATACAAACAACATTGAAAAAGTTATAAAAGTTTTTAGTCTGATTGATGAATTTAAATCTTAAATACGTTCAAGAAAAAGAATGATATCGATAAAGTTTATAATTGGTAAGCTTGTTCATATGATCAATTTATCACCAAATAAAATAGAAGCTTCAAAATCAAAGAAGACTATAGTTTTGTCCTTTAAGACGTGAGAGAGCAAGATAGGGAGTCTGAGTCCAGTAAGCTTCTTTGAACACAAACTTTAGTTACTTGAGAGGCAGGTTACCTTTAGAGCTAACGATATAACAACAACATGACAACGACTAACTTATCTCAATGTTCACTCGTGCAACTCGCGAACTAGATTGGAATGTACGAAGTGATTACATAATCAGTCCAGAAAGTTACATAACATTCGAGGGTTACATAACCTTTAAGAGTTACATAAGAAAGATCAGCTGATCGACATTCAAGAACGATTTTGTCGAAGAAAAGCAATTGTTGATTTTCGGAAGGTCTTACATATCATAACATCTTTCCCTTTTTCTATTTTTTTTTAACTATAACTCAATGTCAAACTTTTTAGGTGCCTTGATCAATCGTCCATGTCGTGTTCTTATCTCTGTTGTAGTAGCTTCTTGAGGTGGTCTTGCACTCAGCTCTGTTGTTTGAGGTGTTGGGGGTAGTTGAGATCTGGGAGGGGACATGAATGGTTCTACTTGAGAACTTGCTGGAGGGGGATGTTTCTGTTCCTGCAGACTATCTGGAACAGTCAGGTCATCTTCGTCCATTTTGAAGGGGGTTTCTTGAAGTGGTTCCCTGGTAGAACGCAACTGCTTGCGATTGCGCCTGTAGAATCTACCATTGACTTCAACTTTGTAACTGCGACACGCGACTTTAGAAGAAAACAACTGCTTTTGACCACTTTGTTTCTCCAGGCATTTTCATGCGCACTATGTCACCTGATTTGAGTTCTGAGAGTTGTTTAGCATGCTGGTCGAAATGTTTAGCTTGCTTGACACGATCCCTTTTGAGAAGATCACTAACTGTTTGGTCAGTCTTGAGTAACGACTCTGAGAAGGGTAGAAGTGTCTTTGTTCGGCGACCAAAAAGTCGTTGGCAGGGAGACATACCTGTCGCAGCAGTGGGGGTGTTATGGTGATCCAATAAACCAAGATATGGATCGGATTGGGACAGAAGAGCTTTCTTCATTAAAGTCTTCCAGGTTTTGACTGCACTTTCGGCCATCCCATTAGCTTGTGGATAGTGTGGTGACGTAGTGACGTGAGTGAACTTCCAAGTTGCTGCAAATCTTCGGAACTCTGAGGATGTATACTGAGGACCATTGTCAGAAACTACGTAGTCGGGCACCCCATGTCGCGAAAAATGCATCTTCAGCTTGTGAATGACTGTCTGGGACGAAGTGTCGGCAAGATGATCCAGCTCGAAAAAGTTGCTGTAGTAATCAACTAATACAAGGTAGTTTCGGTCCCCGAAGGTAAACAAATCTGTTCCAACTCGTTGCCATGGCCTGCCAGGAACTGGGTGAGGCTGAAGTGGTTCGCTGGCTTGTTCAGGTGTCACACTTTGGCATATGGAGCATTTATTAATACGATTCTTGAGTTGTGCAGACATTCCTGACCAGAAGAAAACCTCTCTGGCCCTTCGAAGGCATGCTTGGAGTCCCTGATGAGACTTGTGTGTTTCCTCTATCATATCACGGCGAAGGCTCTCTAGGACAACGATCTTCGTTCCTTTAAAAACTAGGCCATTTTGGAGTCATTTTATCTTGTTATTTGAAGAAAGGCTATGCGCTTCTAGGTACCATGGACGTTTTTGTATGCCAGCCAGCGCGTATAACTTGTGACAACGCCTGTAAAGATTCATCCTTAGCCGTTTCCACTTGAAACTTGGCAAGTGTCGACTCTGATATCGACAAGTCTTCAACAAAGTTGACAGTTTCTAGATCTTTATAGCAGGATGAGGTGCTGGCATTTGGTATCATTGACTGCCTAGGTAGAACGCGAGAGAGTGCGTCAGCAATATACATCTCTTTGCCTGGCTTGTAAGTGAGATTTAGGTCAAATCTTTAAAGACGAAGCATCATACGCTGTAATCTCTTAGAAGCTGTATTGATTGGCTTCTTCTGTATAGCAATCAGAGGCTTGTAATCTGTTTCGACTGCGACGTGCTTTGCATGAATGTAATGTTCGAAGCGCACACAAGAGAACACAACAGCTAGGAGCTCCTTCTCAATTTGAGCGTAATTTTGCTCTGTCGACGTCAGTGCTCTGTTAGCGTAGTGAACTGGCTGTCCTTCCTGAAGTAGAGTTGCACCAATGCCATACTGTGAAGCATCGCACTGTATTGTGACATTCTTGCTCACGTCAAAGTACTGTAGGACTGGGGCTTTAGTGATGAACTCTTTTATCTCCTTGAAGGCTTTATCTTGAGGGTGTTGATAATGCCATTCTATTTCCTTCTTTTCCAACTGTCTTAAGGGCTGTGATGCTGTAGACAGATGTTGGCAGAATTTCACCAGATACTGCACCGTTCCTAAAATTGTTCTGAGTTCTGCGAGATTGGTGGGCACTGGGTAGTCCACTATAGCCTGTACCTCAGGTTCTAGACCTTCCGCTGTAAGGTGTCCTATGAAGGAACTTGTGACTGTCGAAGTTTCAAATTCTCGCTGTTGAGAGTGAGGTTTCTTTCTCTTGCGCGATTGAGGAAAGCCTTGAGATTCTGATCATGGTTGGCAATTGCAGCTTCATTAGAGTCTCCAAAACCGCAAACAAGGAAATCATCGGCGATGACTTCAACACCTGTGAGTCCTTCTACTAGCTCGTGCATTCGTTGTTGCCATACTTCCGGGGCTGAGTTTATTCCGAATGGCATTCTGAGCCATCGATAGCGACCAAAAGGTGTGTTCATGGTTGTCAAGTAACTACTCTTTTCGTCAACAACATGAACGG